TAAAAGACTTGCATCGCTGAAGTTTTTCGAAAAGAATTTTTATGGGAAATTATCAAACGAGCAGATACGTAACAAATTGGTGTCACAGAGTGGGACAGAGAAGGAAAAAAAAAAAAGGATGGAAAGAGAAGTGGCAAATCAAGCTACAGCTTGGCAGATTTGATGGCAGCAATACAAGAACAGCAAAAGAAACAAGAAGAACGAGAAAAGAAATAAGAAGATAGACACCAGCAGTGGCAAGAAAACCCGCAACAGTGGCAGCTCGAACAGCAAAATAAACATGAGAGACTACAGCAGTTGTTGGAGGAAAAAGAAAAGAAACAAGAAGAACAAGAAAAGAAACAATAAGAAATATTACAGCAGTTGTTGGAGGAAAAATAAAAGAAACAAAAAGAATGAGAAAATAAACAAGAAGAGAGGCTACAGCAGTGGTTGGAGGAGAAAGAAAATAAACAAGAGAGACTACAGCAGTGATTGGAGGAAAAAGAAAATTAACAAGAAGAGAGACTACAGCAGTGGTTGGAGGAGAAAGAAAAGAAACAAGAAGAATGAGAAAAGAAACAAGAACAAAGTCTCCAACAATTGAGAGAAAGCCAGCATACACAAATGGAAAAGATTAACAAATTTCAAAGTGAATTAAATACATTAAAGGACAATTTACTGTCCTTTACACAGGGAGGATATATTAATCATGGACCTAATCAGCCCCAGACAACAGAAAGCCCTTTCCAGACCCCATAGCTAAACCCTAATGCAGACATCTTCAGTCCTGCCAGAAGTCACATTCCAGACACGAGTGTCAGCAACAGGGGTGATCTAGTATGAAGGAAGCCATAGGAATTCGATGGGAAGGCACCATGGGAAGCATATAGAGCACAATTTGAGCTACTGGCAAAAATGAATGGATGGACAGAGGAGCAGAAAGCATTGTACCTCGCAACGAGCCTGAAGGGACAACCACTGGAAATACTTGGACAGTTGTCAGCAGACGACAAGCACAACTATAGAGCACTGGTAGCTGCTCGAAAACTCAGGTATGGAACTCAAAATCAGTTCGAAGTCTACAGGGCTAGGTTTAAGATGAGAGTCCATGCTAAAGGGGAGAGCCTGCAAGATCTGGCACAGGATTTGGAAAGCATGGCATACAAGGCCTACCCA